TTCCCTGCCCTGAAGGGTTGAACTCCACACAGTTCTACTACAGGTTTCCCCCGGCTTTTATTAAAGATATTCAAAGTTGGGAGCTTAGAAAAATACCCTTTATGATCACCTATGCCTCTGCAGAGTGGGTCCAAGGACTGGCCCAATCAGGAGGTCTGACAGCATGGGGGGGTGTTTCAGGGGCACCCACATGGCCACCTTCCTTGCTGGAGCTGTTGGTGGAGGAGCAGGCAGGGGAGGTTGGGGCTACTCAGTCCTGCTGAATAGGTCTAAGCAGGCCAGAAGGAGAACAGATCTAGGAGCGGTCTTCCAAAATCTTACCTTCCTCGCTGGGGCTGGTCCACATAAGCAATTTTATAAGATGTTTATGAGATACACCACCTGCCTCACAAGCACAAGGACCTGAGTTCAATCCCCAGTACCAAAAAAAGAAAAAAATGAAAAAGATGTTTATGAGACAAAGAGGATTTTATTAAAGAGATAAAGGATTTCACTAATAAAATGTCAGATGAACTTAAGGAAGGGACAGTCAGTGAAGACAATACAAGGTATGAGCAACAAGTTTGGTAAATAACAAGATATTATGAAAAGAAAGCAAGTAGAAATACAAAATATGAAAAATTCAATAGAAAGCATGGCTAGTATATTCAATCAATATAGGTTAGTGTCAGAAATTGAAGACAAGGTGAAGGTAATAGATCATAAAGTGAATGATGCCCTAAAAATGACATGACAACAGGTAAACTGTATCCAACAGCAGCTAGATGACTCACAAAAGCCCATACCAGATTTATAAGAATAAAAGAAAAATTAGAAGACAAACCAAAAAGTATAAAAAATTTATTGACTGAAATCTTGGCAGAAAACTTTCCAAGTCTAGGGAAAGGATTCAGTATTCAAGTATAAGAGGTATATAGAATTCTAAATACTTATGACCAGAAAAGAACCCCCCTGTGACATGTCATATTCAAAAATTCAACAAAATGAGAGAAAACTAAAAGCTGTTACAGAAAAGCAGTAAGTTATTTATAAAGGCAAGCCCATTAGAATTACAGTGGATTTATCAGCACAAACCCTAAAGGCCAGGGGAGCATAGAGCAAAGTTATTCAGGCCCTAGAATTTTCTTGCAAAATTAGCTTTCAACATTTTCTGAAAAGTAAAGACTTTTCATGACAGAGAAATCCTAAAGAAATACATGAGCACAAAAAGGCCATGGAAGGAAATAGTCAAGGGAATCATAGAGACAGGGAGGCCACCAGCACCAAAGAGCCAAAAGAATGTGTGTATCTAACTGGGACAGTAGTTATAAAAAACATCAACGGGAACAAAAACCCCCAAAGGATTCAGAAGTAGAAAACCAAGCAATGATAATTCTCAATGGTCTTAAGTCCTCAATGAAAAGACACAGGCAGATTTGATCAAAATTAAAATGCAGCCATAAGAAGACACACCTCATGCAAAAGGAAACTCATAGATAAGGATGAAAGGATGGAAAATGTATATTTTTCTAGTCTATTAGAAAACTTTCATACTTCTCAGATGTAAAATATATATAATTTAATAGGAGAACTGGTAGGAAGTAAGTACTCAGTAAATGCTAGCATCCTTTCTCTTGTCCCTCAAATATTTGCCTGTTATTCATTAAAAAAAAAGAGATGGAGATAAGAGACTGGTATCCCTAAAATATCTAAAGGTAAATTCAGGGTAGTGATTAGTAAGCATTCTTATTCAATTATACTTTTAAGTTTAGCATGTAAAATATGCCTATTCTAAGAACAAAATGAAGCAAACATTAATAATGATTAAAAATTAAAATTATAAATATTTCTCATTATTTTCCTGAGATGTCTGTATTTTCTCACTCAAAAGTAAAAATTATAGGGGCTGGGGATTTAGCTCAGTGGTTCCACTGCCTACCTTGCAAGCACAAGAACCCAAGTTTGATCCCTGGTACAAAAAAAATATATATATATCCAGTGTCTTCATCAGAATTTTGAAATTTTCCAGCTATAACATGTTTTTCACTGATAAATATCCCTGAAATATCCCTGTGAAGGCTGTGGATACCTACAGGGTGGTTTTCTTGGACTCTTTTATTGGGAGACCTGCATCCTTTGAACAACTCTTGCTGAAGAAGGACTTCAGAAATAAATAAGAATACTTATATACACCTATCTCAGCAAATTGGAATTGTACCAGTATTTTCCAAAACTACTCAGCAATGATTTTCAGACTTAAAGCCATGTAAAAATCATTTCATGATTTTGTTAAAAATTCAAAATCTGTTTACATCTTCACATTATCAATTTAGTAATGTAGGGTAGAATTCAAAGGAAAAGTATGTATTTTCGTCTAATACACAAACATTCAGTGCAGGTTGTTAAGAGTGTCACATCTTAAGAAAAATAGATTCTCTCCTTTGATAATGCTCCCATTTACATAAGTGTTGGTATAATAGAGCATGTTCCCATTGTAGCTATGTCCTTTATCCCTACCATGATTCAGACATCACTCTGGGTAGTGGTGGGATGTGGAGAGGGTGTCAAAAGGATCATATGGATGAATGGAAACCTTTTTTGGATTAGGATCCTTAAAGTGAGACATGATTGAAAGGAGATAGAACACCAGCTTATTCTGTGAGACAAGTAGCACAGTAAGCCCTTCACAACCAAGTGTCAAAATGTGTCATACATTAGGAAAAAAGCTTCCATTTCATCCTTGGTACATCAGGCTAGAAACTCTGAGAATGTCCAGGGACACCATCCTTTGTGCAGTCAATGATACTCCCAAGAAGACAGGTAAAGGTGACCCTTACCCTGGAAAGGTGATGTGAATAACAAGAACTGGATCAGGAAAAGGGGAAAACTGTCCTTATTTGGAGCACATTTGAGAGAGCTCTTGGGCGACTGTAATAGTGGGACAGATGGAGAGGAAGGCTGAGCTCTTCTAAGTATACTGTACAGGTTTATTAAGGCAGGAGATGTTTGGGGCCTCATATTTTATGTATACAAGTCATGTGTTATCACTTATTTTAGGGAGTCATTGTGCTGGTGGTGCATCACTTGCTAAATGGGACATTGTTAGACATTTGCTTAGCTAATTAAAAACTGTTAGGACTGTATGAAGTGTATGCAGTGTCATTTTACTACATGAGCCTTCTTCACACCTAAAATCTTACAGAATTAAATCAGTGACTGACATTCCAACTCCTGGATCAGAACTGAAGGCAGTCAGAAGCCAACAGTGTCTTGGCTGCAGGTGGCATACATCTGCTTTTACACGAGCCACCAACACGCATACTCATACTGTATTCAGGAATCATTTTACAAGTAGAATAAACTGATAGTGCATTTATTTGGGAGTGATGATGATTTTATACTTTAAATACAGTAAGTTCCAAACTTATGAATGGGTTCTATTCCAGAAGAAAGTTTGTAAGTTGGATTCATTTGTGATCTGACAAAGTAAGTCATATAAAGTAAACCTGTGAATCTTATGTAGTTGACCTGTAAAAGTTTGCAACTTAAGTGTTTGTAAGTGGGAGACTTACTGCATTTTTAAAAAATTGTATGCTGTAAGAGAGCAGGAAAAGGGTTAGGAACATCCATTAGAATAGCCTTTGACTCTGAAAGAATGAAACTTATTTAATATTCATCTTTTATTCTTAAACCCTTGTTCACTGGAGCTATCTTGGATTATATTTGTCTTAGTGGATTTATTAATATACTACAAACTGGCATGAGTGGGTGGATGGAGTTGGTGGTCCATAGATAATGTGAATAGGTGATAATTGTAATAATTTATCATAGCCATTGATCATGATGGTTCCTTGAAGATTCCCCAGAGACCAGAAAAGATTCCATGTTGGAATTTGGTATTGCTTCCTCTCTATGTAATTCAGTGATTTTTGTCTGGTAGAAAAGAGGTCCTGATGCGATCCCTGGAACAAAGATTCTTTACTATTTTTTTGGAAGTGAATTGTTGGTGCTTTCAAACTTGGGATAGTTAAACATAGAGAGATGAAACCACAAGCAATAAATCTATTCTAAAGCATATGAACCCATGCAACATATTTAACAGTTTGTGGAAGAAAAATGACTAGAGAATTATGTCTCTTTCTCTTTATTTAAAGTCTCCCAAACTTTTACAGTTCTTGTCTGATACTTTGTAAACCTTATCAGGCTTTTATAAAAATGGGAATAGTAAATGTTTTCCTAGTCCAACTAACTGTGACATATAAATATCATGAATTAGTAGATTCCATTAAATTAATGACAGTGAACTAAAGTAGCTCCAGAGAAAAATATATGTTAAATATACACAGTTTGAACGTTTATATAAACTGATTTTGCTTAGGATAAGTTGTAACTTTATAGTGATAGATCTGGGAATGGTCCACCTTTGTAATAAAGTTTTTGTTTTTGAATCAACTTTAATGAACAATCAACGTGCAATAAGACACACACATTTTAATTGTTCATCTTAATTACCATCTGCAAATGTATACAACTGTGTGACCACCACTTCAGTCAGGATATTCCTGTTATACAAAGATGTGACTTCATGTCTCTTTGAGGTCAGTATTCTCTCTACCACCCCCATCTCTGGCCTCATTCACTATTGCTTTGCTGTTTCTATAGGTGAGGTTGGCTTTTTTCCTTAGAATTTAATGTAAATGGAGTCATATGGGCAGCACTCTTGTTTGGCTTCTTTCTTTCAGCATAACTATATTGGTCTACATTGTTACGTAAATCATACTTCATTCCTTTTAATTGCTGAGTATTATCTGTTGTGTGGGGCTTTTATGTATTCTACTTTTAATAGTTTGAAGCTATTATGAGTAAACCTTTTATGAACATTCTTATACATGTTGTATGGATATCTGTTTTTATTCTCTTGTACAAATATATAGATGTGAAATCAATGGGTAAATGTTTTTCTTTCTTTCTTTTCTTTTTTAGGTACCGGGGATCAAACTTGGGACCTTGCACTTGCAAGGCAGGCGTTAGAACCACTGAGCTAAATCCCTGGCCTGGTAAATATTTTTCTTTAAAATTGCTTTTATGTTTTTGCTATTTTGTTTATTTTAGGACCTAGTTCATTTTACTCTCAAATAAATACCTTTTTATCTGTAATTCAATGATTTAAGTTTTTATGAGCAGAGTCATGGCCTAATTTTTTTTTCATTTTAGTTGGTGTTTAACTGTTAGACTCTGGCAATAGACCAGGTATGCTATAATTCTTGTGTAATGTTGCCTACATTTCTGGGAACTGACCTTAATTTAAAAGGGAAAAGGGGAAACATTCTCTGGTAAAATTTAGAAGCAACAGAGAGATAATGTCAAGATCATTAGCCTATGAATTAGACAGAAAGGCAAAATTAAGCATAAGAAGTAAGATAAACACAAAAAAAGACCTGACATTTCTTTTGAGTAAACACCAAAGTATAAATTCTGAGTACAGAATAAATTTAAAAATCATCTTCAAGGTCTTTTCATCTTGAAAAATGGAAACATACCATATTACCTTGGGTTCTTTGGAGACTCTAAAAGCCAAAAACCCTTAGGTATTTAATATTTTCTTATAAACAGAAAACAGGCATAGGATTTTCTTTCTTTCTTTGCTTTTTGTAGTACATTATGGTGGCTATTAGGTTAAAGAGTCCTTTCATATCAGAATATCAACAAATCGTTCCCTGTGCTACAAAACATATATTTTTTATTCTTTCCTTCTCTGAAGCCCAGATATAAAATAGTTGATCTACTTGAAAGCATGCTTTAACTTAGTGTTCTAATGAATATGTTGGCTTAGAAGGAACAGCTGCTCAAATCCAAATAGAAAAAGAGGAACATGAAGAAGATATAAAGTCATGTCACTGAACTGAGAAAATTCATTCATTGAAACTGGGTCAGGAGATTGAAAGCCACTGGGATCTCAGGAGTTCTCTTTTTCCAACTTTGCCATCCTCTGAGTCTTTTGGCTCTTCTGTCTGTTTCTTTTTATTTCTCTTTCACTGTGCTTCTCTTATACAATATATTCTGTCAAATTTGTTATTCTCTGAAACTCGCCTTCATTTTCCTCTCTACTGGATAGTTTGACCTGCTAATCTATTGCCTCTGCTTTTAAATAACATGCTTTGCCTTGACACTAATGCTGGCCTCGACTCCACAAGACTTTGCAGCTTTTCTTGACCCAATCTATGAGAACGCAGTTAGTACCAGAGGGGCCGATAGATTGACAGGTATAAAGAAAGCTGTTCATCTTTTGTCCATCTGTGTGTCCAGGATGGGCACGGTTCATAGTTCTAATCTGGCTGTGCAGCCCTTTCCCTTTACCGTGAGCAGGAGAGTTTAAGGAAAGTTGGCCATGGTGGGCAATTGAATGACACACCACCATGAACAGTCTTCTGCTTACTAGAGGTATTTGAAAATCTGTCTTATTAGATATGATCAGCTAATGTATCCCTGATGAATAGTGGATGAACTATACATACAGGCATACAGGCAAATAAACTAGGGCTATCAAAGTAGGCAGCTAAATTTCAAGCTTGTCCATCATTTGGAAAAAAAGATTCCCCCTCAGATTTAATTAACAATGTCTGTATTGCCAATGGCCTGCTAACTGATTTGATTTGAAACAACTATTTTTAGTGCTTCTTGGATGCACCATAAACAAAGAAGTGAGTCAGCTTGAAGGACAGTGACTCCAGGCCTGAAGAATGTATCTGAAATTGGCTATGTCTGCTGAGCTAACATGCTGTCTGACATTTTTCGATATAAGTCATGAACCTCAAGCCTGTATTTTAACTAGTCTAAAATGTCATAATCTTGGTTTAATAAAAAAACATCTATCAACTTTGACTTACTTTGTCTTTAACTCATCAGGGTATAATGGGCTCCAAGGTAATTTTTAATCTATATGTAAATTTCTATAACAGCTATAGTATAAACTTGATCTGCAAAAGAACTGAATGCAAGCAATATTTTCAAAATAATGTCAATAAAGAAGCTGTACAAGTAATACATGACACTCAATGAATTTGAATATTGGTTGTTTTAAGACACTTTCAACAAAATTATTGTCATTGAAAAATTTTGGGGGCTGATAATGCATGAAATGATATGTAGAACAGAGAATTAAAATAAGATTTCATTATAGGGTTGTTAAACAATGTTAAAGGTCACAGTTTTTCATTAGAGAGCTTTCATTTGGCAGATTTCATAGAAAAGTTGATAATATCTCTACTGAATGTATTTTCTACTCAGTAAAGTGACAAAGTGATTACAGCTCTTGTTTTTTGATACAAAATTATATGCTTTATACCTCATCTACGTTTATAAGTAAATATTGTCTAATGTTTACAGTGGAGTGAGACATGATAAAATGTCATGAAAACCCTAATTTTTCCTAATCACAGTGAAGGTTATGTTAATATATGATTTCCTACATCTTCTAAAATTCTTTTTTTTTTTCAGCTTTAATTGAGTTTATTGGTACATTTTAGGGATACAGTACAGTTACATTCATTGTTGGGATCTTGTACCTCTACATGACAAGTCTTGATTCTCATTTTTTCCCCTTATCCCTGCCCTCCCTTAACCCCCTCCTCCCCTCCCCATCTACAAACTCTTTATTTTCATCTTTTCATTATCTCTCATTTTTTTCTTTTCCCTTTTTACTCTTCCCCTACCCATCCCACCTTCCCTACACTTTTAGCTCCTTTGTTCCCATTTCTAAATGTCACTAATGTTTATAGCAGCACAGTTTATAATAGCTAAATCTTGGAAACAGCCTATTTGCCCATCCGTTGGAAACTGGATAAAGAAGTTGTGGTTTTTCTATAAAATGGAATATTACTCAGCCACAAAGAACGAGAAAATAGATTCATTCATAGGAAAATGGATACATATTGAAGATGTACTCCTAAGTGAAATAAATAAGTCACACATTTGTAAATACCGAATAGTTTCCCTGGTGTAAATAATCTGCAACAATGCATAAAAATTCTTTAATTTTCATAGAACAGGACCTGGGATTTAGCTCAGTGGTTCTGTCGCCTGCCTCATAAGCACAAGGTCCCGAGTTCAATCCCTGGTACCAAAAGCAAACAAACAAACATAGAACAGTGTTTCACAGAGCCATGTTTGAAGAATAGTAATAAAAATCATAGGAACTCAAACTTCATTCTGAAGTCAGTGAGTATTAGTCACTAGTTTCCCTCTACCGAAGGAACAGAAGAAAAAACATAGAAAGATTGGAATGAATTACTTTGTCTACTATTTTCCTTTTTGTAACAGTTTAGTTTTAAGCTGAGTAAGGTGGCACATGCCTATAATCCCAGAATTTAGGAAGCTGAAGTAAGATAATTTCAGGGAGTTTGAGGTCAACCTGATTTACATAGTGAGCTCAAGCCCAGCCTGAACTACATAGTGAGATCCTGTCTCAATGGAAAAAAAAAAAAAAAAAAGAAAAGAAAACCCCCCCTAAAGCCAAACAATGACAGCAATAACAACAAAATAGTTTAGTTAAAAGAAAGGTAGAAAATTACCTCTGCACTGATAGCTGTGCAAAATGAGATGGTGGATTCTAGATACGACCTAGGATATAACATCTAAGCTCTTTTAATTTCAACTGGCTTTAACTCAGTATACTTAGGGAAATCAATACATGTGCTAATGATTTGGATCATTGTTTCATTGTGATCAGTGAAAAATACAAATCACTGTCCTGAAGGTACTTTTATAGTTAATCAAGTTAATTTTTTTTTTTTTTTTTTTTTTTTTTTTTTTTTTTTTTTTGGGGTTTTTTTTTGG